CATCCGCCTGCAGCTTTGCAAGTGAAAATAAAAGAAAGGAAACAAATACACAAACCGAAACCTCAGGTACAGTCTCTCACATACATCCACAAAAAGAACCTGAAGACAAAGATCTGTAAAGGAAATTTCACTGGAAATCAAGCTTTTGCAGACACTGAGAAAGAAAGTCTGCAACATGAGCCCGTCTTCCTTGAAGAAACACAGCTGATCTGCTGCATTCCCATATCTGACTTCCACTGGTCTGTGTAAAACATAAACTTCACGCTAACCCTATGAAAACAGTCAACATGCTAGAGAGACAACAGTCTGCTCCGAGCTGGTGAAAGGGGAAAAAAAAAGTCTCAGGCTGTCATTCTTCCCTTGCTGTGACCTTCATGCTCCACTGAATTTCTGAAGATACTGAAATCTTGGCAGGGAAGTGTACAGTCTGTGGGAACCAGGCAGCACTGTCCGGGATCACTGGTGAGAATTAGGCCCAGTCAAGCCCTTTTTTTGGGGGGCTCCGAGCTTTACGTGGCCAGCAGCGCAGCGCTAAGCAAGCCGCAGGCTGGGAATTTCACAGGGTTGCTGCTGTGTGCACGCACGTATCGCACGGCAGAGCCCGGTACGGGCAGCGTGCTGCCCATCTCCTGCCTGGCACCCACGGGCTGGGGCTCGCTCAGCTCCTGCAGGGTCTCCACCCGGGCACCCGGACGAGGCACGCTGCTTTGGCATGCCCCCACATCCCTGCACGTAATGGCAACCACTCCCTAGGAGCTCTCGCTACGGTGTATAAAGCCTCAGAGATCAGCAAATACAAATCTCAAGTGGAGACTCGAAAGGAGCACAGTTTGCCACGACAAATCACAAACCCCGATGCTATTCAACGACCGCCGTGTAGAGCCACTCCAAATAGCGAGAGCTACAACCCTCTGAATGAAACGCTGCTGCGCCAGGGCGAGGTGCATTCACGACCGAATGCCCACATTCAGACAGTCCCGGGGCAAGTACCTTTTGAGGTCAATTTGCTGCTTCAACACTGTCTGCAGTGGCAGAATAATACCAGCTGCACTTCTCGGTCAGTCTCAGCAGCACAAGGTGCAGATTACATCTAAATTGCCAAGCCCAGGATAAACAAAAAGATTAAGAGGGCCTTACCCTTTGTGCTGAACAATCGCACGCTGAAGCAAGAAATCACAGCCTATGTAGTGGGTAGGCACAGGGCTGAGTTTTCGGTTTGGGTTACGGGCTGGTGAGGAGTAAGCAGCTCACTCACACATCTGGGGAAACCACAGATGCTGTTAATCACAGGTTTTCCTGACCTGTAGGCGCTGACAAATTGCATCCTATGGATGAACCTTTTATTAAACCACAGAGGGTTTCAAAACGATATTCTCTTTCTCAGCATTCCCAAGCTGACAAAACCCAGCGCACATGACCCTTCTTAATTCTTCGTTGGGGTGGTGATACGGCCCTTTCCAAAGAGGCTTCAGGGCTGAAAGGAAGTAAACAGGGACACGATGTTACGTTGGCGGAAGGCATCTCAAAAGCTGAAATGTGGGCTCCAAGAACTGACATTTTCAAAATCCTTTGATGATCACCTCAGTCCCGTTTCAGCTGCAGATGCTTTTTGTCCTAAGCAACTCCCGAGACAAATCCCTTGCTGTCTGTTGCGGCAGAAGCATGTTACGAAATACGTAGCCTTTAAATTCTACTGGTTTTTCACTGCACAGGAGGAAGGACAACTGGTACATTTAAAAGAAGAAAATGACTGTTGCTCAGGCCAGGAAAGGTGACCACAAAACAAAATTGCCCTCGTCCCACTTCCATAACACGCTAGAGCAGGGAGATAGCTGCTCGGCTCACAAGTTAGTGAGAAAGATGATGTCTGGCAGTTCTCATCATCATCCGGACCGACAGAGCAACCCACATAAAAGGAACAAAAAAGCCTGCTGATCAGATTGGTGTGACAGAGGCTCATGAGAGACATGCACATTTTCAATCTAAACGACAGCTTGAGGGATCTATATTACTAATTATCGACTAATATTGCCAGAGTTCCCAGGCTGGCTTCAAAGGTTCTTGCAAAGTGCCCCAAGCACAGGGTTTTTCATCTAATCATAAGGCCTTTTTCTTTGTCCCTGCTAAATGGATTGCTCCATACTGGCCTCCCTCTGCGTAAATCAGCTCGCACATGATGAGTTTTGCAGCAATGAAATTCGTTACCTTAACCACAAAAAACCAGAAACATTTGCTGCAACTGTTAGAACACTTTTGCACCTAATTTAAAAAAAAAAATAAAATGGTGGTTTCCTCTCTTCTCCCCTCCCTCCCCGCCTACTCCTAATCCCATGCTAACACCTTTCTAAAAGGCTGGGGTGAGCGGCTTTGAAACTGAAAGAGCAGGGAAGGGGAGGAGGGGGGGGGAAATATCAGATCTCCAGACAATGAAATAAAGCAGCTATCTCTCAAATCCTGCAGCGCTCAGGCTGAGGTCATAAGTTAAACAGGACATCAGAATAGGTGATGTAATTTGCTTATTTAGGATCAGAGCATTCAGTGAAGTGAAAGAGACAACCTATTTGAATTTGCAGATAATCCTATAATAAATGCAGGGCTGTTCAGTTGCAGAAACTGCAGCTGGAGCCTGAGGTTTTTTTTCCCTGCCCATTTATTTTTGCAGGGGATATAATTGCAATCATTTTTCCTTGCAGGAAAGCCTTGAAACCTCACCTGGGATCAGCCTCCCATTGCGTTAGGTATTGTTCAAACAGGGTCCCTGCCCTGGACAGCTTAAAGGCTAAAGGGTCAAGTCAAACAGAGGGTGGGAAAGGAAAGAGAGGCCCGAGGGAGGCAAGGAGGTGGCACAGCCACACTGCAGGACCCAGCTCCCCCAGCCCACTCCCTCCCTCGTACAAGGGCAAAGCTTCATACTCAAAATCGAGCTGAGCAGCAGTTGCGCTTTCATGTAAAGCACAAGTCAGCTTTTCTGAAGACAGACAGGTTGTCCTGGCTTCAAATCTGTCTGCAGAGCCTCAACCCAGCAAGGACTTTACAGCAGTTATAAACCTTTAACAACGAGGTTCTCCTGTAACAGGAGTAATTTATCGGCGATCCTGTGCAACACTGGATGCACTGTTTTCCTTTCAAACCATCGTGACAAGCACTTGCGATATAAAGATTTAAAGCTAACAACTTGCACTGTTTATCTCCTCAGTTTATCACCGTTCAAACTGTAATTTCACCCTGTCAGTGCTGCACAGAGCCGCATTACTCACACCCAGGGCTGCCAGCCCCTTTCCTGAATTCATCTTCTTTTACACCAGCGTTTTTTCACTGACAAGAAGTCATCTAGGCCAGACACCATACCTTAGCCAAAGGAAGCAAAATGGCCCAAGTACCTTGGGCTCTTCAAGAAAGAGAGCAGTAAATGATGAGGCACCGTGCACGCTGCCAGGTCAGCAGCTGCCATCTACACCTGCTTCAGATGGATCTTCAGTGAGGCGGCACCGAAAAGCAAGACTGAAAAAGCCAAGGCAGTCATCCCGGTCATAGCTGCCAAAACGTGTCCATGCTCAAGTGTTTCTTTACAAGACTGGAATGGAGTCATGTCCTCCTGCTGTCCTACCAGGCCATACCCAAGTGTCAAAGCAGGCAGGCATGCCCCATGCACAGACACCATGTCTGAGTGAGGGTGGCTGCAACACCAGCAGGAGTGGGAGATAACCTCCTCCTTGAATGGACGGATCTGTGACAGAAGTCAAATTTTAACCCCCCATAAAACGATCTAGCTGTCAGATGTTCATATCTGTAACTGTAGCCACCCAGTGGGCCACTTTCTTTAGCAGGTTTTGGTTTTTTTCTTTCTTAAATGCAAGTTCTGTGTTAGAAGTTTTTCCAAGTTGTCAAGAGCAGAGGACCACTGATCTTCCACTCAAGCCAGTTTGGTAGCTGACCCTAAGGCTGCTGACAACAGGCCCTGATAACTCCACAAAGATCTTCCTGACCAGTGTAATGGGCCAATGTGCTGAATTTATCATGTAAGAACACCATGCAGCATGCGTTTCACATCACCCCTTTCTGAAGGAGCTACTTTTGGCTATCTGAAAAAAAGAAAAGCTGTATACAAGACATTCAAATGTGTGCAGAGGGGACACACAAAAGATACTTGCATTTCAAATAGAGGGGACGGGTTTATTTCAAAGATTTTAAGGCTAGGAAATGTATGACTTCTTGGGGGGTGGGGGTTGCATGTCACCAGAAGACAGAATTCATCTTATTTTCACTCAGCCCCCTAAAATGTTCCTCACTGGAAGCAACACCAGGCCTGGCTAAAGCTTCTCCATGACCATCACAGAGTCCTTAAGACGCAGCACTTGAGAGACCCGTGCAAGGAGAAGGTCACACGTGGCAGGCCACAGCTGACGCAGCCAGGAGCCGTCTCCATTTCTGGAGCCTTTAACCAGAGCAACCAAGTGGAAGCCCAGCACAGCTGAAAGCAGAAATGCCCAGAAGCCCATGGGTGAAATTCTGCAGGCACTTGCTGCTCTAAGGCAGACAGGGGTAACCAGTACTCGCCACTGTCTTGACAGAAGGCGGCAGTACTTTGGCAGGGTTACGAAGCAAGCCCGTTCTTTATAGCCGCCGAGGAGAGACCGTCCATCCCTGCTGGGGGAGTGGACAGAGGAAACATATTTAACAGCAACCTTGGGTACAACATTGAATTGGGACCTATTTTTACCGTGTGCTCTGCACTACGCGCATTAATTGTTACAGCAACAATATTTGCTGACATGTTCACTCAAATCATTTACAGAATAGAAGCCCAAGAGACAAAACAAGCCCTTGCTCCACGAGACAGAGAGAGTCAGGCAGGATGCCACACTGCTTCCTGTGACACACAGAAAAGCTTATCTACAATGGATGATTGCAGCGATAACCCATCCCCGGCGCTCTGCAAGCACAACACAGAGCTGTCCTTTGCTGCCGGCCCCGCAGCTCAGGCACCGGCCGGCCGAGCTCCACCGAGGCGAGGAAGAAGAGCAGCCCAGGTGATGAAGGAGCATTACCCGGCCTCCTCCTTCTGCCGAGCACGTACGCAGCAGCACTTGGGTGTTTCTGGAGGCCCCAGCTTCACGCCATCAGCGGTCGCCTGCTACAGGGAGAGCCGAAACCCTCGGTCACCCATCAGCAATACACATTTCTGCAAGGAGGTGGCAGAGCTCAAAGCAGTGTGCAAGCCCTGAGGTCTGTAACCCTGTTAAGGACCGGACCGGGCAGTATGGAAGGCATGGCTCAGCAGTTTAGGGATCCAGCCTCCATCCTCACGAAGCCCAATTAGGT